GGCCCTTCCGTAACCATTTTGGCTCAAGCCATTTCTGGTTCAAGGTCTAATTTGTTTGGGAAGCTTCTGCTCGCACCGCAGGGCATCGCTTTCCTGATGGTTGGCGACTCGTGCGGTTGCCCTGCCGCCGTGCACAAGCCAGACGTGTGGCAGCCAGAGCCGCGTTGGCACATCGTGTTCAAGGCGACGGGGATCCATGTGGTGGACGACAACGAGACGCGCTGGCGGCAGCAGTTGCTTCATCGCTCCAAGTCAGCTCCAGCCTTGGCGACATTCCTTGGAGCCCCCCCAGGAGATGGTGAAGCGATCCCCGAGGAGCTCGAGAAGACGGCGAGGAAAAAGCAGCAGAGGAGGAAAGAGAGGATCGCGCAGGAGCCTGGACACGAATCCCTGGCGCAGCGCAGGAGGCGCCAGAGGATGGCTAGCAAGCGCAACCAGTGTGGGGCCACGGTAAGCCCAGGTGAGGTACCGCCGCGCTCTGGCGTCGTTCGTCTCTGAAGTTTCATTCGTCGTCTGAGCCGATCTCTTCACTTCTCCCTCTCCCCTCATCAACATCGAAGAACCCACCCTCCACTGCATTTTCTCCCCGCCCCCTCTCTCGCCTTCTAGTGTGCAGTTTCTAGGTTTGGCCGCGTCGCCCTGACAGGATGCACGGCAACGCCGAAGCAGCTGCGTGGGTGCAGTAGAGGCGCGGTGCCGCCAATCTCTTCCTTGAATTTTCGGCCTGGCCTCCGGATTGATCTCTTGGCCTTGACACATGTGCGAGCTTATCCGATGCGTTAGCGCGGAATCTTGCTCGAGCATTATATTAATTTTAGTTGAGTCGAGACAGATTTGACGTGCTCACTCTCGACCTTTGACGTGCTCACACATCCGACTAGCAGTTCACTGCAGATTGGCGTCGCAGATGGGCGTGTGCACTGCTCCAAGGTTGCTTCAGAAGATTGGCGTGTGCACTGCCTCACGCGCTCCTCCCCGCTCACTTTACCGTCTCTCTTTCTCCCCCCAGTTCTCCTCTCTGACATTAGATTGAGCCCTGTGCATTCGTGCAGCTGGAGTTCGCGACGCCTCATTCTGCTGTGGGCGCGCACCGCTAACCCTCCTCTCCCTCGCCCTGCTCGCAGGCCTGCTGCTCCTCCTCCCTGTTGGGATATATCGTGGCGTCCGCCTGGAGGCGCCACTTTCCCGCCCAGGCTGCCCCTCTGGTGGTGTGCGCTGCACCTTCTGCTCTCCTTCTCCTTCTGGGGCCGCGCGGCGCTGCAGCGCAAGCTGCCCACGGCCTGCGCCAGCCTGTGCTTCAGCTCGGCGGCGTTCGAGTCTTCTCCTTTTGGGGCCGCGCGGCGCTGCAGCGCAAGCCGCCCACGGCCTGCGCCAGCCTGTGCTTCAGCGGCCCGCGCTCTCGCACCTCGATGTCAGACTGCCGATCTAGATACGGGCCAGATGGCGGCCGATCGGATTCAACGATGGGAACTGGAGAGGCCGCTCGGCTGGACGGAGCGTTCGAGCCTGGCACGGCCACCTACGAAGAGACTGCCGTTGTGCATCTGTTTTGTGTTTCTTTACGTGTCCGGCAGCGTCCTCCTCGCTCCTCCTCCTCTTGGGCCGGACGAAACGGGGGGATTGGGAAAGGGGGGTTACGAAATTTGCTGCATGCAGCTGGTTTCGGCCTCACGGAGGGGCCCATTCCTCGATACTCAGCCGCCTCCGGCGCCGGGAGGCGCCGGGAAAATCAGCTACGTGAGCTGATTCTCCCCCCCCCCTTTGCTATCCCCCCCTTTCGCCCGACCCGATCCTCCTCCTCCTCCTCGCTCCTCCTCATCTTCTGCTCCTTTTCGTCCTCCTCCATCTCTGCGGGCTAGGACTTTTTTTTTGCAGGCGCCAGGTCACCCGGGCAGCAGAGGCAGTGCACCGCTTATGCCACCGCTGCAGGAGCCGGGCCGCCATGACCTCGGCATCGCCTTGACGTGTGCATTTTTCCTTCGGCGAGGGCCATCGAGCAGCATCCTTGATCATTTGGCGAAAAAGCCACGCACGAAACCGAAAAAAGCACACGGAATGGACGTCCGAGCGATGGCGAATGACAGTGCCGCGGGTCACATGGGGCGAGCGCGTCGGCACGACAGGTTGGTTGGCTGAAGAGAGGCCTGTCCACCGCCGAAGTTTGGGGCGAGGGCACTGCTCCCTGGCATCGCTCGGACGTGTGTCTTTGTTTCTCGGCGAGGACCCTTGAGGAGCATCCTGGATCATCGAGCGAAAAAAAACACGCACGAAACCGAAACATGCACGGGAAATGGACGTCCGAGCGACGGGAAGGCTCGTGACGAGGCGAGCAGGTATGTACTGCCCACTGCTCGCCATCGGAGCCTCCACTTTTCAATGATGCACTGCCCATAGCTCGTCATGAGTCGAGTCGATCTCTCTCGTGCTTGAGCTCGCTGGGCAGCTGTCCGGCAGCGCGAGCCACTCCCGCGGCCCACGCGAGCTTGTTCCTCTTCGGAGGCCGTGGGGTCCCCGGCGGCGTGAGTTGTCCGCGGCCTTGCGAGTTTGCCGGGCGAAGGCTGGAACATTCTCTTCCTCCAGGCAAATGGAGTCGAAGCATTACATACGCTGCGTTTTCCCGCTCTTTACTCCTCCTCCTCGTCGCCCGCGCGACGGGCGCGCCCCAGGCATGGGATGCCTTGGCTGGCTTCCCTGTCGCTTTTGACGGCCCTGGGGCCCAGCGAGACCCCCAGGAGGCTGTGTTTTTTTAGTGGCGCGAGCATGTCTGGGGCGCCTTCCCAGGCACCCTCCCCGAAGAGGGGTCGCCGCGATGACGCGAAGGAGCTGTTAGAACGAGCCTGGCACACCTTGCGTCAGTCAGCCGTCAGACTAAGAAAAAAGGCGGCCCAGGAGGCTCTGAAGACAGCCCCAAGATAGATTCAAGAGGGGGAAGATGCACCGAACTTTCAAGTCGTTCGCCCCAAGAGGCTCCCAGGAGGCCCCGAGAATGCGCAGGATGGCCCCGGGCAGGCTTCATTGGGCGCACGAGGCCCCAGACGAGTGCCCCGAGAGACGACAATCTTTGACTACCCCTTCGTTATTCAATGTTTTGTGGTGTCCTCCACGTTTCGAGTTTCCAACGATCAGCGACGGCTCTGGACGGCCGGAGAGACCCCCAGGAGGGCCCCACGGCCCAACAGGGCTCCATGACGGCCCCAGGGGCGCCCACGACGGGCCAAGAAGCTCTTAGCACGGCCTCAAGATCTTAGCATCGCTCGGACGTGTGCATGTTTTCTCGGCGAGAATCATCGAGGCCCATCCTGGACCATCGAGCAACAAAAAAACACGCACGGAACCGAAACATGCACGGGACATGGACGTCCGAGCGACGGCAAGAGATGGACTCAAGAGGGGGAACATGAACCGAATGTTCGAATCCTTCGTCCCAAGAGGCTCCCATGAGGCCCTGAGAAGGCGCCAGGACGGCACCGTGCGGGCTTCAGTGGGCGCCCGAGGCCCCAGATGAGCGCCTCTAGAGACAACAGGATGTGATTGCCTCCGGGTGCTTCGATGTTTTGAGGATCCTCCACGTGTCGAGGTTCCGAGGATCCACGACGGCCCAAGAGCACTCCACTACTGCTTCAGGACGGGCCAAGAGGCCTCCAGGAGAGCTCCGAGACGGCCGATCAGGGCTCCATGACGCCCAAACGGGCGCCCAAGAGGGCCTCATAGGCCCTAGACATGGCCCCAAGATGGGCTCAAGAGGTGGATCCGTAGCCTTTTTGCTCAAGGTCTGTGGATGCTCCAGGTCCTCAGGCTGCTGGCTGGCCGTCAGTGGGCGCGTCGCGGCCATGCAGTCGTCCATTCACAATGCGTGGTCGACAAACGCCTGTACGAATGCTCCGAAACGCGGGCCCTCGTCAGCGAGCTGCCAGTCGGACAGGCAGGCGCGCCCCGCCATAGAGTTCGAGCAGGCCGCCCAGGCGAAACCGAAGGACTGGCAGCTGCCTAAGCGAGGGCGAGGCATGGAGGTATGCGCCTGGCTGCGAGACGGCCTCGGCATCGAGGAACACACGTACGCCTCGGACCAGGACGCCATTGACTCCGTCGTACGCGGCGCAGCGAGCAGGGGCAATACGAACATTCTTTCCTCGCTGTACGACGAGGGGTTGTGGGATCCACGACAGTGCAGGCTGTGCGTCCCGGCAGCCGACGAGGGCGGTTACCTGCTTGACCTCGTAAAGTCTTTCATCGTCCACCTAAGCTGGTACCCGAGCCTCGCGGAGGAGCTGTTCCAGGACCAGGAGCACGAGGAGAATGTGGCGCTGCAGGAGCTGACGTGCGCGCCGAAATCGAGGAGGCACGTGAAGGTGGGTATCGCCAAGAACCCGCTGGCGAGGGAGCTCACCCAGAGGACCTGCCTGCTGTCCAACCTGCTGCTCGTGAACACACCGATGGCGGCGCGGGTTCTGGACGACGCGGCCGAAGAGATGGTGGTTTTCCGCAACAGCGGCCATCACAAGCCCAACCCTGTGCGCAGGTATTAGGTCAGGCCGTTCCCGTTCGCCCACGACACGCTGTACGTGAAGAGGTACATCAAGGAGAGGTACATCAGCAAACACATCAAGTGTGACAGAGACAGCAGGGAGCTGCAGCTCCAGGATGCCGAGAAGCCGACGCCGACCTCCGCAGAGGCGAAGGTCACGCTCCCGAAGGGATGCCGCGCAGACGTCCTCATCCCACTGAACGCGGAGACGTTCAGCTTTGTGTACCCGTGCTCGAAGCTGCCACTCGGTGGGTGGCTCTACCTTGACAGCCTCGCAAGGCCGCTGGTGGTAAACCAGATCTGCAAGTCTGCTGGGCATCAGGCGTTCGCCTTCGGGGCGCCAGAGTCCCTGAGCAAGGATGTCACCGCGCACATCGACCGCGACCTCCACCCTCTCCCTGAGGGCCACCCTCATGACTGCGATGTGCCCGACGGCAAGGGAGGCACCATAAAAGCCATCCGCTTCGCATGGGTCATGGAGGTGCCCGACGCAGAGCTGAAGCAGAATATACCTTTGGGCGGCTTCGCCTACGAGTTTTCGGACCCGGCGTGGAACACGATCTTCCCCATCCAGGAGGTCGGCGAGGTCCTGAGGATGGCCAATTTGTCGTGGGATGTGAACGCCCACGCGCTGGCCAGGAAGCCTGGCGGGGATGTTGTCGAGCGCTACGTCGCCCCGCCTGGGGAGCACCGAGCTGCTCCCGTAACCATCAAGCGGATCACCGCGCCCGATGTGCTGCACCCCGTGATGTTGCACGCGCTTGCGTTCACGCCACGAGAGGACGTGCTCAGGACAGCCGTCGCGCAGGCGATCTCCCTCGCCGCGTTCAATTGCGCCTGGCCGTTCTACGTTCAGCAGTTCACCTTCGACCTTCTGAGTGCTGTTGCCCTGTTCTACATCGCTTGGCAAGTGCACTGGCAGATCGGCAAAGGAGAGGCTTACTGGAGTTTTGAGCTGATTAATGCTTGGGCGGTCAGTGAAGTCGCCGTTGGTGCTATAGTGCTGCTGAAAAATGTTCACGATGAGATCCGCAAGTTCATCGGCTTCTGGAGGTGCGGATGGATGCACGAGTACATGAACATGAACACGTTTAAAAATCTCGGGAGCATGGCCGCGATAGCTGCTTTGCTAGTGTTGCTCGTTGTGCCGAACACTCCAGAAGACCAGGGGTACCTTCGGACGCTGCTAGCGGCTGCGGGCTTCTTCAAGTGGGTCAAGATCGTCACCTACCTTCGCGGGCTCCAGACGCTCCGACTAGGGCAGAAGTTCCTCCCAATACATTACACTCTCCAGGAAGGAGTGTCATTCCTTGCGGTCATGGTTTTCTTCATTCTGGCCGCGTGGCACGCCCTCTACGCGCTCTATCCAGAGGAAGAAGTATCTTGGATTGGTTTATTCCGACAGACGTACGAATTGGGATTTCTGGGTGAATTCGCGGCGGATAACCTATTGAGTTAATCGGCAAATGATGGGACGAGTTCTTGGGCGTGGGTGCAACAAATCACTTTTTTAGTCGCTGCTATGCTCGTGGTTGTCATGCCCACGAACATTTACATCGGTGTCATGGGCAACGCGTACAATCACAACCACGGGAAAGCCCTGGAGCTGTTCGTGCGCGCCCGCGCATCCATCTGCCTCGACATCTCTTTGCAATACGGCGGCGCATGGCTGGCAGTGTGCCGTGACAGGAACGGGCCACCTCTCCAGGGATGCCTCCGTAACAAGGGCCTGCGTGTTTCTGTTCCGTATTTGGAGGGTGAGGGCGACCTTTTTCACGACGAGGGGCGACGAGGAACGGCCTCGGCGTTTCTTGACGAGCACGCGTGGTTCTGCTGCGCCGGTTCGAACTACAATCTGGGTATGAGGGCGGAAGACACTGGAACCACGTCGGTGCACCAGATGCGCGAGCTGCAAAAGGCGGTGGGGAGGGCGCAGGAGATGCCGCAGCAGTTGCGGCACCTGCCCGAGCAGGTGCATCTGCTCGCGGAAGGGCAGGGCATCAATATTAGCCCGCGCCCTAGCTCGCGACCTCTAACGAGCCAGATCGTCTCGCCGACATCGTCGCGGTCTGGTCAGAAGCAGGATCGGTTTGTTTTGCGTTGATTTGTACAGCAGCAGTAGTTTTTCAGGCTACCTGACGGGGCAGTCATGTTTCAATTTAGGGCACTTGCGCATTCGAGCCATCGTATGGCTTACCTCGAAGATCTTCCCTTCGGAATGTTTCACTCCTGTGAAGCTTGCGACGCCCAGCCCGAATCGCTGAATCTGCTGCAGCGCTGGCAGGCATGTGCTGGCCGTGAGAAGACCCAGCGACTGCTGGGCCGATCAGTGGCCCCCGTTTCTCGGCAAAATAGAGCGACAAGCCTCGCGCAGCAGGGCGCTCGCAGCGCAGGGCGAGCAGACGCTTGTGAGGCTCGGTGTGCGCAGCTCGTTTGAATTGCCCGCCTGGCCCTAAATGAATGCTCTTCGTGATACACGCTGGTCGTTGCAAAAAAAAGATGGGCTCAAGAGGTGGAGCATGAACCAACATCATTTCAATTTCTTCGCCCCGAGAGGCTCCCAGGAGGCCCCCAGAAGGCCACCAGAGGCTGCCCCAGAAGGCTCCAAAACGGCCCCCAAGAGGCCAAACAATGGCCCCCAAGAGGCCCCCGTGAGGCCTCCTTCGACATCCCTCCTACTTCTCTCATGGCTTTTGGCCCATTGCCCAAACACGGTGCCGAGATGGGTCGAAGGCCACGCCAGTCTCTTTCGCACACCGTTGACGCTCCTTCTCGCATTCCTTGCCGTGGCCTTCCTGGCTCCTGCAACGTTTTGCTTTATTAGCTTACGCCTTCCCCATCTAATTTCCGAGCTTTACCACGATCTCAAGATTTTCGAATGGTTCCATCTGGCTGACCTTCGGGCTTTGCAGCCTCATGTGGAATACCCTAGAAACTTCCACGAAGACTCCAACACGGCCCACACCATCATGTTCGCAGAGAGCCTTCCAGGAGCATGCTTGTTGCCACCAGTCCGACGATGAGACCGAAGAGGATGAGGCGGGTCCGCGCCATCCCACAAAACGCTCCAAGTCAGCGTAGAGTTGCCTGGTGACCCGTTCACAGCTGAACCGGGGTCGGGCCCGCGGCCTTGTTCCGATTGGACTCGGTGTCGACGAGGCTGCTTGCAACCTACGCTCTCCTTCGCGAGGCCCCCAAAAGGCCCCCCACGGTCCACACCAATCATACGGAAAGGGTGGGGAGGACGAGAGGAGAATGATGAGGAGGAGGAGGACGACGAGAGGACGAGTGGAGGACGAAGACGAGGAGAACGAGGAGGACGAGGAGGAGGACGGGAAGGACGAGGAGGATGAGGTGGGGGAGGAGGAGGAGGCGGAGGAGGAGGATACGACGTCGATGGCAGCCGCCGCGCGTCACCACAGGCGGGCACACGAGGAAGTTGAGGAGGAGTAGGAAGAGAGGAGGAAGAGGAGGAGGCGGAGGTGCACGAGGGGGAGGAGGAGGAGGAGGAGAGGGAGAAGGAAGAGGAAAGGGTGGAGAAGGAGGAGGAGGACCAAAATCGGGCCTGGACACCCGCCCGTAGTTGCCCCTCTTTTGGTCCACCAACATGTGCGACATCTTCCGGAGCCTCCTGTGCCTCTTCCCGTTTTTCAAACAGTTCCAGAGGTTGCGGAAAAAAAACATCCAGGTTGGTATGACAGGGCCGGAGACGCCCGAATACAACGACTCAAGAGGTTCCGACTAGGTTTTAAGACGTTCCCAAGATCCGCCCCGAGAGGGCGCCAGGAGGTCAAAGTTGCTTCGTCCCATATGCAACCATTTTGTTTGGCGACGGACCCATCCTTGCGCAGTCATGTGCAGCGCGGAGCAGGGGTCTCTTTTCATACACTTCTCACCGCGGGGCGATGCGGAAATATGGCTGCTGTTGCAAAACGCGCGCGTGGCTCCAGTACATATGTATGTATGTATGTATGTATGTATGTATGTATGTATGTATGTATGTATGTATGTATGTATGTATATGTGTATGGATATATGTGTGTATGTTTGTATGCATGTATGTGTGTATGTATGTATGTAGAGAGGGGGGACAACCATACACACATGCACAACTATAATCACATACCTACACACATTTACACATCCGCGCATGCACACATACAGGCCTGCATACATACGAACATACATACATACATACATACATACATACATACATACATACATACATACTTACATACATCATTACATGCGCACATACATACATACGTACATACATACATACATACACACGCACATACATACATTCATACATGCACGCATCGACACCTACATCCATGCATTCAGTCATTCTTTATTGCACCTATACCAGCAGCCACAGACACCTACATACGTACATGCATGCATGCATGTATACCTGCATACATTCATACGTACATGCATGCACACATATATCCATACATACGTACATACGGACAGACGGACTGACATATATGTACATATGTGTATAGATACGTGTATAAGTACGTACATATGTCAACACATACGCAACCATGTAGCGAGAGAGAGAGAGAGAGAAGAGCGAGAGAGAGTTGGAGAGAGAAAGAGAACCAGCGCAAAAACATAACAACAGACTACAACTGAGGCGGAAGAGGAGGAGGACGACGACGACGAGGAGGCGGACTCCAGGAGGAGGGGCACGGCGAGCAGGACGAACACAGCACCAGGACGACGAGCAGGGCCAGTCGTCCTCACCGCGGGGCCCCCCGCGCACTCGGGCCCGCCCCGCCGGGGAAGCAGGTCCTCGGCCTCCTGCAGGAGGGCGACGTCGTGCGCTCCAGCCGGGCGGTGCCCCGCAGGGCCCTCTGGGCCGCCTCGCGTCGGCGTCGCAGTCGGCGGCGTCTCCGGTCGCATGCGGCCGCCTCGCGGCTCGTCGTCCGTCGTCGTCGTTGTTCCTCCTGTCTCCAGCCTCCTCCTTTCCTTGAGCATAAAGAACCCCTAACCTCAACTCAGGCCCACGGCTTTCAGGGATACCCCTGACCGAGCACCTGGATAATAGAGCATCCGCCTCCTTAACCTCTGAGAGTTGATTTATTTCGCGGGCCAAAACAGAGTTGGTCGGGGAAAAGGTGCGGCGAGGCCGAACTTTATTTTCGCCGGGGAAGGTGCGAGTCGACGTTGTTTTCCTCTTATTTTGAGTACCGACACTATCACGAACGTGTGGCAGGCCTCTGGGATTATCACCATCGCGGCTTCCTGACGAACGTGTGGCAGGGCTGTGGGATTCTCACCAGTTTAGAATTCCCAAGTCACAAACGCGGGCCAGGGCCATGATCATCTCGTCACTCCAGCTTTCCTTACTCACGGACGCGTGTCAGGCCCATGGGAGTTTAACCATTTCAGCTTCCAGACCATACTTTTTCTCAGCTTTCGTTCTATAGATCTATATATATATATACACAAGTGTTAATGCATATGTATGTATATATATATATATATATGCATATATCTATATATATATGTTTCCTCTCTCTCTCTTTCTCCCCCCTCTGGATCATGAAGATATTGCTACTTGATTCTAGACGTTTTACGGAATCCCCATCTAGAAACAGTGCCCAGGCGAGTTGCCCTGATCAGGCATGTGGGGGAGCGCGCAGTGGAACAAAGGCCGGGAGGCCGTCATACCCCAAGATAGGGAGGATGGAGGAGGAACCAGAGGAGGAGGAGGAGGAGGAGGAGGAGGAGGAGGAGGAGGGGAGGAGGAGGGGGGAAGAGGAGGAAGAGGAGGAGGAGAAGGAGGACCAGAACGATGTGGCATCCTTCCAGGATCACTCTGCACAGGTCCCTACAAGGGTTCGTTTTCACTTTACAACCGTCTGAACATCGTGGAACGTGCCAGAACACTTGCGAATCAACAGTGTTGTTGCGTCCTGGCGATCCTGGATGGTGCCAGAACGCTCCTGGGACATCAGCACCGCGAAGCAACGCACCCGTTGCGCCCTGACAGTTCGACATCGTGCCGAAACGCAGTTTTGGGCGACGTGAATTATAAGAATCCTCGTCGCTTGTCAATTCTGAAGCCAAGTTTGCGCGGTGCTGCGGCGAGAACAGCTTTCTCTTATGTAAGGTACCGCTCTCCACCCATGAAGCTCTTAGACATTTGGAGACGAATGTGCGCGGCGCCATGGGCGAGAGCGACATGTTAAAAAAAAACCGCCCGCCTTCCATCCGTGAAATTCTTTCACTCGTGCGACGGATGTGTGCGGCGCTTAGGCGAGAGGCATATGCTCAACACCACACACACACACCCTCCATCGATGAAGCCCTTGCAAAAAGCAAAAAACACGCATGTGCGCTGCACTTGGCCTTGGGCGAGAGCAGCATCTTGAAAACCGCCCGCACTCCGTCCGCTAGACTGTTGCAATTTCTCGGCTTGAGGATCATACGCGGTGAGAAAGTCTCGGGCGGAAGGCCGGCCCGCCCTACCGACACGTCTCGGGGTGCGACACGGACGACTTATTTATCAGGAGAAGGGATGGGGGAGGGGGCCTTCAAGCCAGCGCGCCCCCTTCGCCCCGACCGTTTTATTCTGGCACAGCACGGCACGGCACCAGCACCGCGCCCCCCCTCCTCCTCGCCCTCCAGCCGGCGCGCGCACTCCGCCCCGACAATTTTACTCCGTCGCGTCACGGCGCGGCACCAATACCGCGCCCCCCCCCTGGCCAATCGCCCACCAGCCAAGGTTCCCCACCGCCAGCCAGCGCGCCCTCTTCGCTCGGCACGGCGCCAGGGCCGTTGCCGCGCCCCGCCCCCCCTGGCCGATGCACCCACCACCAGCCCGGCTCCGCCTCCCCCATTGGCCAGCGCGCCCGCTCTGCCCCGACCAATGTTTTTTTGGCACGGCGCGGCGTTGGCACCACCCCCCAGGCCACCCGCTCACCAGCCCAACTCCGGCCCCAACAGCCAGCGCGCCCCCTCCGCCCAGACCCCTTCACTGCGGCGCGGCGCGGCACCGGCGCCGCACCCCGCCCCCTGTGGCCGTTCGCCCTCAGGATCCTCCCCCTCCGTTCCTTCTGTCTCGTTTCCTCGTCCTTCCCCTCCCGTCCTGCTCCACGTCCTCCTCCCCCGTCATCGATGTGCAAGAGCCATGGCAGCCATGGCACGGGTGCCACGTGCTATTTGTTCACGCGTACCTCGTATACAGTTGTGCTACGCACGCGTTTGTCCCGAGTTGGAAGCCGTCGTCGGTTGTCATATCAAGGCGTTTACTGCCCGTCAGAAGTGATCTTCTCCCTGCAACGCTTGCCACAGCCTCCGTCCGACGAAACGACACTCTCGTTGTAGCGGTGGCCGTACCGACAGTCAAAGTTGTGTTCCTGTTGAAAGGTGGTGCAATTGAGTTTAGGCGATCGTTGCCGACATCTGATTCGACGAGCAGAGAAGGGTATACTGCAATGGAAGGGGATGATATGGCAGGGGTGGGTAGGACCTTACATATGGCAATGCACCTAATTTTCTCCTCGTCCTCCCTCCAAGCTTCCTCGTCCTTGCCCCTGCCCCCTCCTCCCCACTCCCTCCTGCCCCTGTCCCCCCTCCTCCACTTCAGACTGGTTCGTCCTCGTCCACTGTCTATTATGAACGTGTTTAGAAGCGGATGTTGTTTCCTCGGGCGTTCGTCGTCGTCTTTTTCCTCCCCTTCCTCTCCCTCCCCCCTTCGTACCCCCCCTCCTCCGCCTTATCCTTCTCCCCCACTGTTCACTCTGCCCACTCCTCCCACACTCCTGATCCTGACTCCTCGTCCTGCTACATCGCCCCCTTCCTGTCCTCTCTCCCATTCGGCTCCCCTGCCCCCCTCTCCGTGAGGTCTTTGGAGGCCTCCTGTGATCCCTGGACAGGTTCAGAGAACCCCTGCTCATCTTTCAGGAGGGGAAAAACACAGACACAATTAATCGTCCACTCCCAGGAAAAGATTGGAAAA